TGACATTGACTGTATATTAGTAGGATATAAAAAATCTCAAAGTTTGCTGCACACATATATTCATGATCTTTTACTATAAATGATTAATTTACTATCAAACAGATACATTCAATATCAATAAAAATACTATTTTTCATCGGAAATATTTTAATAAAACAAATTTCCCAAAGTTGACTATCAAACAATCTCATTGCATGCTTCCTTACAATAAGTGCCTCGCAATTTATTGGAATTAATTAGCTTGATTAAAAAATTGTCCAAATCTGATTGCCTTTAATAGATAATTGAAGCGTCTCTTTAACGTAACCTTTTCTTTTCTTTTCAAACTCTTGCCTAGTGTTTCTCGAGAATTTAAAAAAAACAAACAAACTATTTGTATCTAATAACTTTCAGGGCTTTACAGGCTCTCTCCAATCTTCTGTGAGTTTCGTTTGAATCGCACTTACCAAAATTTATTAAAACGCTAATAGATATATTTTCGTAGAAGAACATTTTGAAAAGAAAATTTCAATGGATATATTTTTGTGGAAGAACATTTTGAAAAGAAAAATTAAAACATGTTTTTTAGGTTTGAAATTTTTTTTTGGAAAAAGAAACTTTTTTCCAATAGATGTTTAGCTATATTTTAAGTAATAAATATTGTTGGCGGTTGATAAGGAGTAATTGGATAGCAGTTATTGCAAAACACAATTTGTACAAAAAAAAAAAAAAAAAAAAAAAAAATCGGAAAAACACTCCAAATTGCAACGTCTCAATAGGAAAAAGAGATGTGCGTAATGAGCTTGAGCCTTGAAAAGTACTTTTTTCTTAACTATCAGTTCTCTGCCATCGTTTCGGTAAGTTTAATTGATGTATTACAAACAATCAATGGCTAGAGAAAATTTATCCATGTCTTTTGCCTAGAGTGCACTGAATATATATTCCATCGTCTCATATTTGACAACAACATTAGTTATATATTTATCCTAGAGGAGAATTTACATCGCCGAAATTTTTAGTTAATATCATTTTAATCCGAGTGTCTATCTTTGACATTCTAGAACTCTGATTTGATTGGTGTAGATATTGTAACCTGGCTCTTACTTGAGTCCTTAGACACAGTGAGCAGTCTGACTTTTTCTTAGATAATACAAAGTGCTGTAATCCAACAGTTTGAGACTAGATCAACATCGATCGTCAGAACTGAACAAGTATGGATTTTTCAAAGGTCTCTAACGATTCTGTGGGTATTGATGAACATCGCTTTTCGGAAAGCAATGGTACATCATCAAGCAACAACAGCCTGACTGCAGTCGTAATGGATCCTCTAGCAGTGGCATTGAAGTTGACATCATGCTCAATTATTGGGACTCTGTCGATTATTGGAAATATCCTTGTAATCTTTGTGGTTTTTCGAGTAGCCCGTATGAAAACCACCACCTTCTATCTGATCGTGAACATGTCGTTCAGCGACATTCTCTTCACGTTGATTTCGATGCCACCATTCATGCTTGCTGTGCTGGGCCATGGCTTAGTGTTTGGCGGTAAGGCCGGGACGTTCATTTGTAAGTTTGTCAATCCTTCGTCGTTTGGATTGATGGCAAGTTCAGTGCTCACGATGACTGCTATTGCTCTCGATCGTTTCCTTGCTATCAAACACCCATTACAAGCCATGATGGGCACACGAATGCTGAAGGGAATAATCATTTCTATATGGGCTGCCAGCCTGATCGTGTCGCTGCCATTGGTGTTCTCGTACGAGCTCAAGGAAGAAAAAAACTTCTATTACTGCGAAGAAAAATGGTCTTCTTCCGACACCGACAACAACCTTGCCTCGCGTGTCTACACCATAGTATTATTCATCATCATTTACTGCGTACCCTTTTTAAGCATGGCTATTCTCTACTACAGTTTAGCCCACCATTTGTGGTGTAAAAAGATACCTAATAACTTCCACCCGATTCAGAGATATTTAATCATTTGCCGTCGCAGAGTGGTTAGGATGCTTGTTGCTGTTTTGTTCTGCTTCATCGTTTGTTGGCTACCCCTACAAGTCGTTACCTTTTCAGCGTATTTCCAAGAAGACATTCAAATATCACCCAACGTGATTTTTGCAGTCGAGATGTTAATCAGAGCCAACGGAGCTATCAATCCCTTTCTGTACCTTATTTTTAGTCGCACTTTTCGACAAGCAGCCATCAAAGCTTTTCGCTTTTGCTTCAAACGACACGAGTTTGCTTCCTCTCAGAATGATAATAAACGAAAAGCATCGTCTTTCCTGACGATCGTGGCGAATAACAATCGAATGGGGTCACTTAAGGCGGTAAAAAAGCAAGAAACTCCAATATGACGATTCTAATTCAATATTATTATTTAGTATTCTTCGCCGAAGACTCGGCTCCTTTTCAAGGGTATATAAGAGCCGAAAACGCCTCAACTATCCCCATGTGCTTGGCTCACATCACTTGGTAATCACCAGCGTCGATCTATCACTTTTTCCGGCAGTATATTTGGGTAGAACAGATCTTTCAGTAAACATTAGAGTACTATCTATGCTTGCGTGCTGTTCGTTATTATAATACTTGATATAATTGCTAATGAAAAACATGCATTTTTTTTATCTTGGGGGAGGTGACAAAAACATTTTTTTTTGATAATTTCCTGTTATTTTTCATATGCGTGTAAACTAACAAAAAACCGACTACAAAATAACCACAAAGCAGGGCGCCTCAACACAAATCAAAAGTTAGTCGTGCGTAAGAGTAAAAAAATATTATTGGATGGAGTTGCGAACGGGTAAATCGAAGGGCGAAAGGAACTATGTTTACGCATAACAAATTACTAGATTTTCTCGCTATATATATCATCATCATTATCCGCTATGCCTGTGTAGCACGTAGGGCTGACACTAAGGACTTCTTTGTGTTAGTTTTCGTAGCAATAAGTAATAAGTGATGGGGTTGCTGGTCCCATGCACATTGCCAAAGTCCTGTTAGCCAGCATTACCCGTTGCCCCCTATAACGCTATATATATATATATAACCAAAAAGAAATGGCTGATTAGGAATATGAAATGGCGCGCTTGTCTATATACTGCAATATAAGCATGGTGGGAGCTAGAGAACAAGAGAGAAGTAGTACAGAAACACTTCGAGATGTTGCTTAGCTATGTTTTGACTTTTCGATTGGTGCTCAATCTAAACTCTCCCAGAGTGTTTGTATCACAGTTTATATGAAGACACAAGCGGACGTTTTATATTGCTTTTATAAAATAAACAAAGCGTTTGAGCTGAGCAGCTGAGCGTGCTTTTTTTGTTCGCATAGTTAAATATGTTTTTTCACCAATCGGAGCGCGCGCCTTGTATATCGAATATTTTCTAAACATACAAATATGCAAATATAACTATAACAAAACCAATAGGTTCGTAAGTCCTTAACAGTTCAGAAATACTTTAGAAATTGAGTTTGCTCTATATGTGTATATTCATTCTAGCCATGGTTGGTAAAGACTTGAAATTCAAGTTTTATCGATAATCACGTGACAGTTATATGTGTACATTTCGTTTCCATAGACGAAGGGTTTCCTTGACGCGCATTAATACAAAATTAAGACATAAAACATTATGCTCAAAGTAGTATAAACATTTCCTAGGTAAAAAGTATTAGATAAATCTATTAAGCAGTTTATTCTTATGACCATTAACATAGTTGATCTAATTGAATGAAACAAGGATGAGTTAAAAGCCGGTTTATAGTGTAGAAACAAAAACGATTAGCCAACATTTCAATATCCATTAAATATTTTGTAGGAAGTAGACTTCAGTTCAAAATGGACTTTTTGATAAAGCAGGATTACTAGAATACTGTCAATAGTGTCCTCATGGATTGGTGACTTCACTCGAATAGAGTGATTATTATTTGAAAACTGCGAAAAGTAAGAACGTAAGCTATAGTACAAAACCAACAAAGGGGATTACTTCACTTAATATTTTGAGCGAATATATTAATGTGGCAAAATGTGAAAAAAAGAGTCATCTACTTGGAAGAGAATCTTGATGACAAAACAATTAGTGGGCGCCGATCAGATAAGAAAACAAAATGTTTTCAAATATCTTACATTATAATAATCATCTATGATTGGTTTGCGCTTCTGTTAGATTGGGGTGGATGGAGCAATTAAGGAGGTTTTTGGTCAATTAAACCACGCAATGCTTAGTGTAAAATCCAAGGCTTCACAGCAAGTTTCCACCCTAAATGTAAGTTCTGTCAAAATTCAACAAAATCTTGGTTAAATTGATGGACAAAAACAAAAACAAAAAAGGCGTAATAGAACTAAGGGAGCAATTATTTTTAGAAGATGGAGAAGGCCGGAGGAATAGGGGTTATCAAATATGGCCAATTTTCTAGGCCAGCCGGCTTGAATAATTTTCAAAACGGTCCCAAATACCCTAATGAAAAAACTTGCAAAAATGCAAGGAATGACCAGAAAAAACTAGTGACCCCCTTTTTCATTTCTAAATATTCGATGCATCCCCCCCCCCCCCCCCCCCCCCAATAATTCCTCCGGCCCCCTACCCTTCCAAAAAATGCTCCCTAACTTAAAATATCTAAATGAAGGCAGTCTAAAAATCTTACAAATTCTTCTCATATTACAAAGTGTTATTGATAGAAAAAGTAAATTGCATACGCATTCTTGGCGCCAACTATTTTAGCAAAAAATCTTAGTCATTAATTTTGAATAAGTACAGACTTGAAAAAAATATAATTAAAAACCTTTTAAAAAATATTTTTTGCGATGGAAAATGATAAGTGAAGGGAAATGAGATCCAGGTAATTGTTTAACTGAAATTTTATGCGGATGTGAGCAAATTAAAATACTAGTCTTACTTTCGAATAAGCATAATTAAATAAAAAAAAGAAAAAAGACTACAAACTTAGAAATAAGATCACTTTATTTCTGAAATATTTCGAAGACAGAGACACAAAGACTAGCTATGTATTGATAAACAAACCTTTTAACTTTTTAACTAGAGTATTGTTAAAGGTGCAATTAACAAGGTACGTACTTCCTATTTCTCATAAATCCTTAAAGGAGTAAATGACAAAAAGAAGGACTTTGAAAAGCTAGATTGTTTTAAAGGATAACTCCAGGGGATATGAGCAGTAATTGAAAACCAATCATTCCGTTTCCATTAAGTATTACCTCTAGATACCACTTGTACCATCTAAGAAATTGTTTTTCATATTCAAATGTATAAACTCCTTAGGGACTCGCAAGTCTATGATTTTAATTAGGGGAAAGAAATGACTAACTACGTGAAGGAATCTGGTAGTATTGATATCAAGATGAAGTGCAAACTTCTTAAAACCGTCTTGTACGCGAGGCAAACATGGAAATACAAAATAAATGCCAAATTCGAGAAAAATTGTGATGATTTCTTTGGTAAGAATTGCATGTGAGCCTTAAATTCACGATTCTTTTGAGAAGGGTCCATTAGGGGGAAAATCCTCATGAAGAAGAGTCAACAAGCTTAACGAAAGTCACTTAATATTTCGATATATCCATTTAGATCTGACAGTGTATAAGTAGTCAATACTAGCTTTGGAAAATCTCCTCAAGAGAGAGCAATAAGCCTAATTCTCTTTCTACGAAGAACGAGGGCGACGAACATGCTGCATGATTCTCGTTTTTTTTTTTTTTTTTTTTTTTACAGTGTGCCATGGGGAATGAAATACTTATCCCTAGAACTATGGTGTCTCTAGATTAACCCTATGAAAAGTCCCGCACAACATAAAAGCCTTCAGTGTGAGCCTCCTTGGATACAATATTCTTACTTATATTAAGCAAGGTCATATTGGTGTCATATTGAGTTCAAACACTTGGATATAACATCAAATGTCCCCTACTGAGCATAACTATTAAAATAACGCCACCACTTACTTATAAACCTACTATTCCTATGTACCATGGCAATAAAAAAATAAATAGTCGTATTTTGTTATTGCGCATTGTTATAAACCATTGGTTGACTTTAGAAATGCAAAGGTCTTCTCTCAGTTGCTTGCTATCCTTTTATTCTTTCTTTCTTTCTTTCTTCCTTTCTTTCGTTCATTTTTATGTTATTTTATTCTTTGACTCAGTTTTTTAATCTCTTTATTTTTTCTTCCTCTCTTATTCCCCTTTAAATCCTTTAATTCTTTAAACATTATTAAGATTTGTATATATACTTGCCGTGAATCGCAGTCAAGTCTTCACATAATATGTTAAGTCTTTTTTTTTTGTAAAAATATTTTCATTTGATATCGCCTTAAGGACGTTCAAGGAGAAATGTAGTTGCAGTCAGAATTTTTTAAACTTGGCATAAACATACCCCAATTAAGCTATTATTGTTCGAAAAATGGAAATAAAAAATGGGGGTCACCGATCTCGTCTTATTGCTAAACCCTGTGAAAATATGGTATTCATCGAGGAAGAAAGTGCGCGCTATAAAGTAACCTAGGGATCCAAGAAATGCTTCGAAAAAATAAAAAATAAAAACATCAAAGAAATGCAGAAAACAAAATCATAGCCATCCAATAAGAATTCCTTTAACATTTCCGATTAAAAGCATGCAAGTAAGAGTAAGTAATATAGAGTATATTACATGGGCGCGCGGAGATATTCGCTACGCTCAGTCGTGAGAGATCTTTTCAACACTCGAAAATAAAATTCGTATCTCCAAGCGGCCATGTAATATTCTGTCTATCATATAATTATCAATGAAGTATGTTTTGGCTTTTTCAGGCAATTTTTTCCGTGTATTTTTGAATAGCCATCGCAATGGTGTTATTTTCACACGTGAAAATAACATGTTATTTTCACGTGTGAAGATATCACTTTTTCGAAATAGAGAAAAATAGATATTTCATTGGTAATTATATAATAAAAGGATTTATGAAACTTTCATTCCGTGCGATGCAGTAAAAATGAGTACCATTCGTTAACAGGTGAATTTTTTTTCTTTTTTTTGTAAATTTGTTTAAATCATTCCCTCCCAATAGATTTACATATTTTGTAGATTTTGGTACTTTCTTGATTTGAAGACAAAGAAAATATGAGATCCGGCACTGAATTGGTTTCCGAGATATTTTGTGGTAAAGAATTCTTAGTGTTTGTTCGCGTGATTGTAATTTTCCTAGCGGATTATTATGCAGTGGAATGAAGAGGTTGAATTAAACGAAAGTAGTTTCCACTGAATATTTATTTGTCGTTTTGGCGTACGTAGAAAAGATAATTCAAGTTAGGGATTTATATCAAAACGAAAACAACTTACTATTATTACAAAATCTTTTGAAGTCTCGGCTAAAACAATTTAAGAAAGGTAACGAATTGAGAAATGGGTTTTCTTGATATTTTCCCCATCAAAACATTTGAATGACGTAATCACGATGAGCGCACGCGCATTAAACTCAAGCGTAGAAAGGCTGCGCGCAAAAAATACCCGCGCGAGCGCCCTTAATTCAAACCATTTCCAATGAATTATACCTACTTACTATATGTTGGACATGGTTCACTTTCTCGAGAAAGCGGAATATCGATCTCTTTGAACGTGCACTAGATGTCTACTGCTTCAGATCACACGAGTACATTCCTGCTATCTATTACTCAACGTATTTTTTCAATTAAGAAAAATAATATAAAGTCATTGTTTATTTATACCTTATTTCGGATGCATTTTTTCATAATGTCATTCAAGCTTATCGACTTTAAATTTGATATAGGCTCAGGAAAAGGACACACTAATATATAAGATATTATTTGTTTCAATGTGCTAGGATTTGGATTCTCATATTTCTCATAATGTTTCCTATATGGTACTATTTTGATGTCTGTAATTTGTTTTTGAGTTAAAAATAAGTTCGATTCTATATTTAGATTCAAATTTACCTCTCTATAATTTTACGTTTTGTTTTTAATTTCAGTTTTTATTTGTACTTAGCTTCAACGGAAGCAATATCACGTTCCTTTTTATTTAAAAATTATGAAGGTTTTTTTCTTTCTTTCTCCTTCTTCCTATTTCTTCCTATTTTCTTCGTATTTTTCTTGATCTTGCTCTCTTATTTTATTTTATTTTTTAGCTTTGCTTTTTCATTCCATCCATCCATCCATCCATCCATCCATCCATCCATCCATCCATCCATCCATCCATCCATCCATCCATCCATCCNATCCATCCATCCATCCATCCAATCATCCATCCAAACAACTGGCAAAAATGCCAATATTTCCTGATTAGGCGTCTATTTTCAAAACTTCACTCTTGCCCTGCTTAATATTTTTAGTATAAACCCTATTGTGGAACTTTATCATAATTAGCCCCCTAGTGATTATTTTGCCTATTTTTTAGAAATGTCTGTGCATCATTATTGAAAGCTTTTCAATAGGATACCTCATTGTTTTCTTTTTACTATACACCTCTAAGAAAAGGCAATCTTGAAAAAATGACAAAGCTATTTTATCGAATTTGAAAAAAGAAAAACCAGATCTAAAATAAGGAATGGTTCTGAAGATTCTATTTTTCCGTTTGCTAAAAATTTTCGAAGAAATCAAAACACGTAGTATCAATACTGCCTTTCTTTAATCTTGTCCCCCAAATCACATCAGATGCTAAATTTGGTATGTCTCAATATGGTATTAATACATTATGCGTTCGGTGTGTGTAATGAAATAGAGAGGATAGGAGAAAAATATCCAATGCCCTTGGCGGGAATCAAACCCACGTCTCAATATTATCATTATATATAAATGTTGAAGTAGAATGATGACTGTAATAATACTTTATTCATTATGATAAGATATTGCGTTTCACCAATCATGTACTCAAGTGCCGAATCTACGTGCGTGCAGTCTATATTCAGTCATTTCGTACACGAAATGTATCAGTCATAGCTATATTCAGCCTATTGAAGAGATATCGTTAATTCTATCACATATCCAAGCTATAAAATCCATTGGTCATCTTTGGCTGAGAATATTCAATTCGAGGATTGAATATTTGACGTGATGTACAAACATCATGAATTTGGTTCGTTTGAGAAAGTATTAATTTAAAGGGTATATATAAACGTACAATCATGAATATGTTCCAAGAGATCGATTGGTTGTTTTTATTTTCAAATGAACTTGAAGTTTTCAAAAAATAATTTTTGTTACATCGCAGGCCAAAAAGCCTGGTTATATATTTTTTTACTTTCTTCCTCTACTGCGATTTTTTTCGTTATTCTTTCGCAAATGTCCTTATTTTCCGTGACTTGTTATAAATTAGCAAAAAACATTTACAATTAACTAATTGTAGCCAATTGACTAAAATTAACAAAAGCTTTAGACAACTTGGCTAAGACCTACAAAGAACAGAAGGCTTTTGGTAATTAATGAGTGGTTCCTTATGTACAAAACAAATGGCAATCCAAATAAGAAATAAAACTTTTCGTTAGGTCACGTTCGATCCGTAATAAATACCCATATAGTTCATTTTTCTAGTTGTTGCAAATATATTTAGAATTTGTTTGTGATTTCCATGTTCCTTTGCAAAAGGCTTTTCATATCAAGCCATTATATTTATTTATTGTATTATGTGGGCCCATTATGTGGCTTACTATGCGTGGTCGATCTGACTCGTACGAGTATGAATCAAGCTGTTTTGAAAAATAATGTCATGCTGTGAGGACATTTTGAATGAAAAATGACTTGAAGAAAGTAGGTTCATTTGGGAAAGTCAAGAAGCAGCTTGTGTCCGCCAGAACCGACTTATACTTCAGTGATGTAGAGTACTAAAAATTGCCAAAAATTTGGCTAATAGTCTCCAATGGAAATTTTTGGAGAATCAAAGCATTTGTTTAAAAAAAGAAATCAACCTGCTCTTTTTTAAGGCATTGGAATTACATTTTTTGTATATATTTAAAAATATAACTATTTAGTTTTTATAGGATGAAAACTCTTTTTGGATCGGATGAGTGAATGCAATAGTGTAAGTGGAGTTCGTTCAAGCGAATCAGGTCAGAATCGAAACACGTCGTGTGTGTCACCAGTCTACGAAGCAGAGTCGCTAGAATGGAACGAGTATACATAAACGTAAGATGCAAATCACGAAAACTAGAAAGAAAAGTACTAGATTAGACGAAATAAGAGCGATTTTTTTGCTGAAAGATAGCAGTGGTATTTGACAAAAAATTACAAGAAATTAAAATGAGCAAGAAGGAGCTTCACTCTATGAAGGTAAGATTAATTGATAACACATTAGAAATACTTAATGTCGACTAATGAAATAGTTCATCGCAAACATGTACAAAGAACAGAAGGAATTCAACCATTTGTGGCTAGGTTTTTCTATAATCGGTTCTTAAAATAAACAGGACTGGGTCCAGTTTGATCCTATAAACATAAAACTTCTAAACTGGTTTTGTAAACTCTATCGAAATTCACGAACTCCATTTTACTTAAAACTAAAAATCAGATAATTAAAGCTTAAAAATGCAGGCATGCCTCTATGAAAACTAATGATTTCAATGGCTTTTCTATCTCATGTCTGAGTGAATAGGAGGGAGCTGAGAGTGAGATGGAAAGACAAAGTAATAGAGAGGAAGAGCTAGTTGTCTCATCCGAATATCGTGTTGTAAATAATGCCGTAATGTCCCTGCATCTAACTGTTCCATCGCATCACGCGATTGATCATATGTTAATACGATAGAAATAAGGCAGATACGCCAAAAACCAAATGTTCATATCTCTTAAATTATTAATTTCATTTACTTAACATCGTGGCCTATTTTTTCTATCGTCTCTTTAAATACAAAATGAAGCTCTTTCCCTTTTAAGAAAAAACAATGTTGTGTGTGTTGAGCACTAACATTTGTTCAAATCTATAAAATCATCCAACCTTGATGAATTCAAAACATCAATGGAATCCTGAAACGTTTCATTCAACTCCACATTCGCCTCGGGCATGATCGATTAAAAACAATGTCTAAAAGAAACTTAGTTTTTCAACGATCTAATTGCTATTTAAGAACCGGATTTTTTCGCTTTGTCGTCTCAATTCTTAAATGAGTTATTAACTTTGATCTATCTAATCAGAAATCATTTATTTTATATCGTGATATTCTAACCCTTTTGATATTTCAAAACACGGTACTGCTGACCTCTTAAGGCCGGTTTAGACGGTACGATTTTCGCCTACAACTATAGTGTACAACACGCTCGCGTCTGTCGTAGGCGAGTTGTAGGCTTAATTCACACGCTACGACTCGAGTTGTAGGATAGCGCGAGCGTGTTGTATACGATAGTTGTAGGCGAGAATCGTACCGTCTAAAGCGGCCTTTACATATTTCATTAAATCGTGTCTTGGGAATTTGGTCAGCGGTATACTTAATAAAATGACGTTTCCTGCTGGGTAGAATCATTTAAGTCAAGTCACAATATCTAAATACTACACCGATTAAAAACGTGTAAGGCTGACAAAACAAACTATAAAAGAGTTCAAATTCTAGTCTCACTTGCCATGAATTATCTATCATGTTTTAGTAAATGTTTAAATCATATGAAATTTAGTAAATACCAAGTAAATGTAAAAGCTTTTAGTCTATCACCATTCGAACATTGGTTATTAGAAAACTCCGAGTCACCCTGCGTGTAGGTAGGTGGGAGGGAGGGAGGGAGGGAGGGAGGGAGGGAGGGAGGGAGGGAGGGAGGGAGGGAGGATGGAAGTGAAGACTTGTTCATTTCAGTACTGGGTATATTGTGAAAGTATTCCGAAATATTTCATGGAAGATTCTGCTTAAATTTTCAGAAACCACAAGATCATGACACTTCAAACCTTGGGACTTCAGCTAGTCTCAATTCTGTATCTTCCAACAAACAAGATAAAGACCTTGTTCAGTCGCCACTAAAAGCAAGTTTTGAATACCTGAAAGGCGAGAACTATAATATCGAACTGAACTTTATCGAAGGCGATGAACATCCATTAACAGAACAAGGAAATCTTGAGGCCATTTTGATGGCATGTGAGCAAATAAAACAAGACAAGATAAGAAATTGCAGAGATCAAATATTCAAAAAGACTTTGGCTTCCTTCACGCCTTTACACGTCGCAGCATTTTCTGGCAATGCAGATACAGCACGTCTTCTTGTACGTGAAAGTGGTATTGATATCAATGTTCAAGCTTTAGGTCAGCGGACACCATTATTGTTGGCATGCGCTACTGGAAACAATGAAGTAGCAAAAGTATTCATTGAAGAAAAAGCTGATCCTAATTTGGCAAGAGAAGATAAAGTGACACCTCTTATGCTTTCAGTACTGATTAACGCCAAAGACATAGTTGCTTTGCTAATTGAAAATGGGGCCAACATATCTGCTGAAGCCACAAAAGGGAGAACAGCATTGCATTTTGCAGCAGCAAATGGATTCAAAAGTATACTCAAAATGCTATTGGAAAACGGAGGTGATGTAAACGTGGTTCTGGAAGAGGGCTGTTCAAATTTGCACTTGGCATCGTTATTTGGTCACACAAAAACAGCTTCACTATTGATCCAGAAAGGTGCAGCGTTGGAAATGAAGGATCAACAAGGGTATACCGCATTACATTATGCTACCCACAGTGAACGAAGTGAAGTGGCTGAAAAGTTGCTTGCGTGTGGAGCCAATAAAGATGCTGTGGATAAGTTACACTTCACACCTTTTCATCTTGCAGCACAAAATAATCATATAAATGTGTGCCATGTTCTATTAAAGTACAAAGCGAACTTGAACTCCTTGGCCAATGACAGAGTGACTCCTCTAATGCTGGCTGTCTTTCATGGTCATTTAGAGACAGTACAGTTTTTATGTAGTAACGGAAGTGTGTTGCAAGCGCGACACCAAACTGGCAAAACTGCATTGCATTTCGCATCTCAACGAGGACATCATGAAGTTGCAAGGTACCTGATAGAAAAAGGGAGCTACTTGCACACATGTGACTTACAGGGTTACACACCATTACATAAGGCAGCTCAAAATGGACACAAAAAGGTTTGCAAAGTTTTGCTTGATCGTGGAGCAAATGTCGACGCCTCCAACGACAAAGGGACGACACCACTGATCGTTGCAGCAAATTACGGTCACTATAAGGTTGTAAAGTTTCTTGTGGATAGAGGTGCTGATATTAATGCAAGTCATTCATCGGGGACGACATCACTTCATTTTGCAGCAGAAAGAGGTCATTCTGAAATTGCAAAACTTCTCCTGGAGAAAGGGGCAGACGTGAATGCCTGTGATAGTTGGGGACTGTCAGCATTRCACAGGGCTGCCAAAAATGGCCATGAATCACTCGCTGAGCTATTTATCAAATCCAATGCAATCATCAACTCGAAGGACAACTGGCAATATACACCATTACATCGTGCAGCAGAAAACGGGCACAGCTCGACGGTTGCAATGCTCCTCGACATGGGGAGTGAAGTTGAAGCAAGAGACAAATGGGGATTCACTTCCCTTCATCGTGCAGCATGTAACGGCAAAACTGAAACAATTCAAATTCTTCTCTCTGCAAATGTAGATGTGAATGCACAGGATTCACTGGGGTATACCGCATTGCACAGAGCATCAGAAGGTGGATATTACGACACCGTAAAGATACTAATAAAAGCTGGATCTGATGTTAATTGCCTTGACAACCAGGGTTTCAGCCCACTTCATCGAGCAGCTGAAAATGGTCACCAAGATGTTGTGGAGATGCTTATTGAGTATGGAAGCAATGTCAACAGCCAAACGTACACCCTCAACTACAAAGCCTCAGCTCTGTCATCATATGTGAAAGATTCAAGCGTGGGAAATCAGTCTGGGAACACAACGAATGGATTTAAAAAGGAGCCAAATAAAACCAAAGGGCCAGCGGCACTTCTTTTAGCAGCACAGAATGGCCACGAGAAAACAGTGGAGCTGTTGCTAAAAAAGGGAGCAGATGCAGAGATAACGGATTTCTGGAAATCCACAGCGTTGCATAAATCAGCAGAAGATGGTAAGATAAAGTCAGCTGAATGCTTGATAAAATATTTCAATGATGTCAATCTCAAAGATCGATGGGGATACACACCTCTTCACAGAGCTTCTGAAAATGGTCACTCAAAGATAATCGAACTGCTGCTTAGAAACGGTGGCGACATCAAAAGCGTGGACCAATGGAAATGCACTCCGTTAATTCGCGCCGCACAGTACGGACACTACGAATGTACAAAGCTGTTAATCGAAAGTGGGAGTAGCATGGACGATACTGATAAGTGGGGATTCTCGGCGTTCTTAAGAGCTTGCCAAAATGGCCATACCAAAATTGCCCAACTTCTTCTTGCTTCTGGTGCAGATGAAACAAAAACAACGCGTGAAAAGACAACAGCATTAATGCTGGTTAGTTATGGAGGATTTTCTGACACTTTAGAAATGCTCCTCGAAAGAAAAGCTAATCCAAATGCTGTCATGGATAAAGGCCTAACCGCGTTACATTTCGCAAGTCAGAAAGGTCACGCGGCTGTAATTCGGTTGCTGGCTACGCATGGTGCCAATGTGAACGCCGCTGACCAGTTTGGATATACACCACTGCACAAGACAGCATTTCACGGTCACACCGACTGTGTTAAACTACTTCTACGTTTCAATGCCAGGCTAGATATAACTGACAAGCAAGGATGCACGCCGCTTATGAGAGCTTCTCAAAATGGCCACAAGGATGTAGAAAAAATCATAGAAAACTACAAAACCAGAAAATCTCAGAAAACCTGTCTTTGCGGCAAAATTATGTCCGATGGCGGTGATAATAAGGATTCCGTATGCCAGGAATGCAAGCTCATGGGTCTTTATGCAGTTTCATTACCATTTAAAGAGAATAAAGACAACATAGAACAAAATGAAAGTGCTATCCATATGGTCTAGTACAAACCTATGAAAGTGACAGGCACATACTGATTAGGACTAAATTAACCTAAATTACCTAAATTACAAAAAAACCTAAATTACGCCGTGTAAATTAAACCTAAGTCTTTGGCGGGAGTAAGCTAAATATTTTTTAAGTTCACTTCCAAAGAACTTTTTGCAGGAAGTCAGTGCAAATCATATGTAATCGTAAAAGAGAGTTATACTAATTGAAAACTTATTGCAAAAAATTCAAGTTTTAAAGAAAAACAGAAAATAAGAAATTGGTCGGTGTTTTTATAAAAAGACTCAATTTTTCAGATTCCTCTGGTTTACAAACATTTTATATTCCGGTGTTTATCCTACAATATATACGGTATTTGGTGGCTCTTATTGCCTTTCTAAGCTCTTCAAATAAATTTTTTAGCAGTTTCCTTTGTGTCGTTGCTGTTTTCGTCACCCTCCCACGACAGAAGCCAATACCCGGAACGTACAACTATTATCCCTGATTTCGAGTTATCATTTTCTCGGACTGGCTATTTTTAGATTTGCATTGGTGAATAACAAATTTAAAGCATTCCTTGGCAGCTATAGCTTTTACTTTTAAAAAAAATTTCTTCATGTTTTACGTTAGTTTTTTGCTTGATGTAATAGGCTCCTAGTCAAAACTTTCGCCCTTGCTGGTTACGTTTCGAGTAGTGGATTCGAAAAAAATTTCCAACAAAATCGGACTTATTTGTCATTGCACTTATTCCTCTTGAGCCTTAACTCAAACGAAGAGCTGAGGAGGCCCTGAACGTCAATATCTTGTTCCTATACGCCTGCACACATTCAACATTCATTTGTGGCTTTCATAAATTACCTTAAAACCGAAAGAGCCATCGGCGCTATATTTTCGAGTATATACTAGCATATATTTTTCTTGTTCATAGGATAATATATATAATATATACGTCATATATGATGAACATTATACAGTAATATGATGAAAATAACGTTAGCTTGTAATCATTATTTTCACAACAATTGATAATCACGTTATCAATCATATTGTATTTATCACGTGACCCTTTAGTGCACTTTGTACAGTTCAGGAAGGCTCATTTATATATTGATTATCCACCAATTATAGTTCCTGGCAGCTTTTTGAATGCTATCGACCTTTATTTCATTAAGGGTCTTGGGATCCAGTATCGTGGCTTGGTCATCAAGAGTAAGTGGGTCTTCTATCGCACAAAAAGCTTCCAAATATCCCCTTTACTCATGGGTTTCACATTATATTTATCCTCGTCACAACATAGATGCTCCGGAATGAAGTTGATAAAGTATTTTTTACTTGTTCCATTCCAAAAAGCTGGCTCATTGTACGCTCGATGTGTGCCATTGTGCATGTAGTAGCCCCATTTTCCAATTTCGGTTTTTTGACCATCGTCACCCCATTTTAGACAATTGGAAGCCAAAAAGGAGTCATCCCCCGGTGCTCGGAAATATGACTCACAAGAGTCCATTTGCTGTAGATTATCTATCGTGAAATAATCTACGACGTTTCTTCCTTTAGTGTTCTTATTAGTAATTATATGGAAGGTTCTTCCTACAGCCTTTTTATGACAAAAATATCGCATCTGAGTGAATCCAATGAGCTTACGTAGTTCTCCCAATGCAGGGACGTCAATGCGTAAGTTGTTTATGGAATAATTGGATATTTGGCGGTAGTCATGTTCTCTGATCATTTCTCCAATTGTCTCGTTGTCTGTAGATAGCACAGTGCTAGCGATAAGAGTCCATCCTCCTATACAAAACAATAGAAATAATTAGACGAATAGAGCATGCGCAATATTGGTTGAAGATAACAAAACATTTCTCATTAGCTTCTCCTGTTAGATTACCAAAATGTCGCGCAGTTGTTTCATTGTTATTCATATCTCAAGGGATTTTGAGTCACATGGTTGCACAAACTGTATATACCCCGTTTCCATCGTTTCCTTGCGTTCACTTTATTAGCATTTTGCAGACCTTCACCAGAGCTAAGACAAATACATTTTGTAACTTATTTATATACGGCTTGGAGCAGAGTTTTCCATTTCTTTGTCACTAATTCTTATTTACTTGTTAACTAATGTTTTTTTAAACGTTTGGTAAAAAATGGACAGATTAACCATCACATTTTTCCTTCTCGCAAACATCAGACATGACGGCGCTTTCATCGTTTTCCTGTATTTCACTTTTCCTTTTCCAAACTTTCTCACCAAAGACAAGTATTCTTTCACTTAACAACCCATTTTCACTTGTTAACTGACGTTCAACCTTTGCCGTAAACGAGATGCTTAAACTGATTTCTAATGATACCGCTCTATTAGAAAACTATATAGTAGGGAAAGTGCAGATCTCATAGCACAATGTCACGCCGTTCTGATTGAGGTCACAGCACAACACTTCCGCACTGCAACGCAAGATCCAGAGTTATAAAAGAGCTGAGTAATCAAAATATTAGTACAGAAAATAATTTATTTACTATACGTTGATCCTTCAAAATGAAATGAAGTAAAATAAAATAATAGAGATGAGATAAGAAGTGTGAAAACAGGAAAAGGTCTTACCTCCGTCGGTTTTCATATCACAGTAAACGGAAATTGGTGTCAAAGAGTTGGCAGGATCGATCCAGTAGTCCTTATTTGCCAAAGCTATTCCTCCAGCGCTGTCCAGGATGTCCTTGCAAGATATTCCCGGGAGAAGTTTGTTGGATCCTACTAATGCTGAATTTTATTAAAAAGAATCAAATTAACTAATGCAGGGAGGTTTAAAGATCAGTCAAAAATATATGAATGAAATACAGGCAGCTGAGAACTACTACTTTGTAGTTTCCCTTTTTTCTTTAGAGTTTCCAGTTTTCCTCCCTTCGCAAGACCTAATACGATATAAATTGCGATCTGTGTGTTAACAATGCCCTGCCTTTGATCAGCCCAGCGGTTGATTCAAGGTTTCATAAAAGGTGAAAGTTATTAATATTATTATTATTTTTACTACTTACTTCTGTATGGATTATTGAAATACAGCCATTCATCCACTGCAACAAAATACAAAGGTCTGGCTTCCCTCGTCCTGTTATTGAACTCACAAACTGACTCATTTACTTTAAAATTTATACTTTGGCACTGTCTATCTGCCTTACAATTCTGAAAACATCTCATTAGATCGATTCCGGCGTTCCTCTTGAAGACGTGGTCAATAAGTTTGTTCCCCTTGACGGAATGTATTTGTAAACATTGGCTTGCAGCCGTCGTTGCCAAAGTTACCACGAGGGCTAGCTGAATTGCATACTAAGTGGGGAAAGACAAGACAAACATATCATTAGCAGATATTTGCTTTCTTCTTCTCTCTTCCTTTGCGTGATTTTCTACATTACATAAAAATGAACCAATTCAGTTATTTTGAATTGAATACGTGTTTTGTATTTAGTTCTGCCAAACGTGTGAATATAATTCAAGTGTCTGTATCTAGATAATACCTGAAGACGTTATTATTTTGGAACTTAAAATAAGCTAAGGGTCGTTTCATTTGAAAATGCGCTTGGTAATTATGAAATCACATAGCCTTATTTTATGGATCCTTGTTTTATGGATCCCACACTTTATTGTGGTTCAACATGAACCTAAGCAAGATCGCTGGTTGTGCAGTAGTTTATAAAGCTACATTTCCCATCAAATAAAAATCGTTGATTGTTGAAGCCAGACTCATTTGCGCAGCCTTATTCCCTTTAGTTATTTCCCTTAAAAAAACTTGCATAATGTGAAAAAAATTAAAAGTTGAAAAGGCATCGAATTGTGCCCTGAAAATGTCATATAATATAGTTACTTTAATAAAAAGGTTTAACATTTACAAATGAGTCGTTTCAGTGCTTATGATCATTAGGCGAATGATACGGTAAATTCAGTGTTCAGAAATCCAACTATGGAAAACAACTATTTAGGAAAAACGGAATGATGTTTGTGCAAGTGAGGCAAAATACAGGGCAAGTGTTCAAAAAGACCCTGAATAAATAAACCATTGTTAATCAGAAAAAACTAATATCACAGTTCTAAAAAGTAAGAATTACTATATATTTTATCTTCAACATGAGGTCAAAACGATGTAATGAAGACTCATACGAGTAATTTATACAAATATCACAAAATCTCTGTCGTGCGGGAATTTTGGCCAGTTTTTCTAGCCTGCGTGCAGCCAGACTTTTCTCTCTTAACAGTCAGTTAGGCTGCACGCAGGCTAAGTCTTTCGAGCAGCAAACTTTTAATTTTTATGGTTATTGAGCTGCAGGCTCTAACCATGAAGAGTTAATTTTCAGTTTCGAAAAAAATAGGTATCTCAGTAAATTAAATAGGTATATACGTCTCGGTGAATTAAATTAGGTATGTACGTCTCGGTGAATTAAATTAGGTATGTACGTCTCGGTAAATTAGGTAGGAAAGTTCAACTTTTATAATGAGTATGAGTATTTTCGATCTTCGAGTTTAGAGCCAAGATATCTAAGAAACGTTCTGAACATTTCATCGTTAAGTTAATTTAATATGTCTTTATTTCATTCGTTAAAATACATAGCAAATATTAAAAATATTTAAAATATAGATGGTAGGAAAAAAATATATATATACAAGATTATCAAAATTAATTATAATATTCGAAAAATCATAAAATTACTCCCCCACTACATTATACTTAAAAACTAGCCTATTAAAAAAACAATTCTTAAAACGTTCTGTATTAATCTTATAGGCTTTGCCGAGGATGAATTGAGTGCGTAGCTTTCTAGAACTGTTCTAAATTTTCGACGAACAATATAAATTTCTCGATAAAACCGATTCAAACTAGCGATCGATAATTGCTTTCTAGAATTGTTCTAAATTTTAGACGAACAATTGAATCATTAGTTCTCGATAAAACCGATTCAAACTAGCGATCTATTACCGTGCCTTCCTCTCTGCTAAGAAGAGAAAAAAGTTCAACTCACCCCGTCATTGTACAAGGTTTTACAGGCCCTATTTTTGTGGTGGAAACAATTGGGTTCGATTTAAAGTGAAACAAATAAACAACTATTTAGAAAAAAAGATTTAAGTTATGAACCTTTTGTGTAGTTTCGAAGAAAAGAAGTTTCATTTCCAAAATTAAACGAATATCTAAATAAAGTATGTACCTACCATGATATCTTCAAGATTGGCGTAGAGGAAAGCCAAGCTACAGAAGCACCGTGACAAAAGCTAGAGCGTCCACTTTTTAGAAACTAAAACCAACAACGCTCAAGCCAGGATTTTCCTTGCCAGAAAAAAATGACGTCAATAAGCGTCCAGCTGAATCAAGGCCAAAGAAAAGCAATTTAAGGACGAGAAATGTACGATCCTTTGATTACTTTTCCCAGACAGTATGTCAATGCAGGTACTCGGATTATTACATGAATGTTAGTATGGCCAGCCAAATATTTACCAAATGCTAGTACATGTTTTTATTCTTTAGCTTTCATGCAGATATTTCATGTATGTAGATAACTTTCATTACAGTATTACTTTCAGGAACCCCATCTCTAAGATGTCAGAGTACCAAAGTCAAGTAATAGTGAGTGCTTCAACTTGGATGCTCCAGCCAATAAAGTTCCGTGTTTCTTATTGGCACTTGAAAGGCTTCGTGAAGATCTTAGAACCTGGGAGTTTTGCGATCTATTATTTACACAACTGTTCTCGCGAATTTTGAAATTTAGAAAACATTTACTGAAGAGTACACATCACTTCTCAGTAAGGTAGAAGATTAATATTACAGCTGGTCGTAGCTGGTCTGTCATTTACTCATTCGTTCGTTCCTCTTTTTCTTTCCGATCGACGATGGGCGAAGTAAGCGAAAATCAGTATAGTATTTGTGTTTTATATTTATGTAAAGTTTCTTTTATTTTTTGTTAGAATGCAGAATGCTAAGACAAGACGATCGCGACTTTAAGTAATATTTGTTTAATTTCAACTTACTCTGTGTTAGTGTATGAACCAATCAGCGAATCTGTTGGATTGACTGAACTGAATCTCTGTTTTCACTC